AAATTGCAAAAGAAACTAAGTCAAGAGGGTTTTATATCCCACTAGTGGATATTCATATACTTATGATCTATTGGATTAACAGATAATGATTGTCTATGAAATTCATCTTATGTTCCCTTTAAGCTTGGTAATTACGCAATAGAGACTATTAAATATCGATTCATTAGAAAGACAGATTATAAACCATATGTATTGTAATGATATCTTTTGCAATCATTTCGTTTGATACACTAACAGGTAGTTTTTCTACTGCAGTACAATACCCATACAGTTGTTTTTAATGTACTTATTTACTCTACTGACGGAGAAATTAAGAAATGGAAATTTGTGTGTCGTTCCTATTCTACACACTTGAGATTGTTCGAGGCTCTGTTGGAACTGAGAGTCTTTCAGACCATCCCATTCTTCAGCAGACTGGACTAGATTCTCAGAAGTAAAACAAACTCATCGATAAAAATACTTTTTTTTTCTAAAAACTAAATATTTAGTACTAACCAGCATTTAACATGTTTCCATTAAAAAAACATTTTTTGTTAAGGTCATTATGTACACAAGAAATTGTAACATGCAAAATAGTCACAAATAATTTTTATTAAATCCTGATTACAATTGTATCAGTAGTTGAAATGTCACTGTTGTGTGTGATCTTTACATATTTTTTTCAAAACCATCATGCTCATAATCAGTGATATTCTTTTTATATTAACATACCAACTTTTACATAGGATACACCAAACTACTTCATATAAATAACCATAGATAAAAGTAGGGAACTCATACAAAACATTTTCGTGATCGGTTTATTGATGGTCAACCCTGATTTTCACGAATGAGAAAATACGGTTCCACACAAGTGTCAGTGTTGTAATTACAGCTTCTAGCTTTTTTTCACTATGATCGGAGCTATTTAACATTATGAATATAAACTCTATTGCACTTGGATTTTTTTATAGTACGTATTAGCCAGTAGTTAGGAAGATCTAGTCGACGTGAAAAAGTTAAACTGCTAACAGTTGATTGGTCATTGAGTTGTGACTAATGCCATATATATCAGGTCCGTCTTAGTGCAGATCGGATTCTGTCGATCAAGTCCCAAAGTGTTCACTAATCGGGGTGACTCAACACCGCGTGGACTATGTTGGGATGTGATAGGGTGGTTAGAGAAAGTCAAGAGGAAACCTAGGACATAATTTTAATGCTGTCTGGCAGTCGTCAAAAAGGTGTACCCGTACTCTTGAAGCATTTGATGCTCCCTGGTGGATTCAACCCCGTGTCATTCAATTTCAGTCAGACCAAATCACTGAGCTATCCGACTCGTGACTGATCTCATGTAGGACTGAGGTGTATTTACAACTGACTGAAGTTAAGCTGTTTTACATACCTTTCTGCATGGAATTAGATCCAGTAAGTTCAGATACTGTAGTAATCATCCTAATTTTCAATCCATTTATATCAAGAACCTTAGTTTCCAACTTAGCTATTATTATCGCATAATTCTTATTCGATGTGGTGAATATATTTTACGTATATCTAACATTTAACGTCAAACACCTCACAATTATTTGTTTTCATAGTATTAGACCACAAACTGATCTCAGTTATACTATTTAAAACCTGGAAGCACTAGGCATCTCTGAGCTTAATGGCTTGGCCGTGGAGCTTTCGTTGTTCTTCTAAACGATATCATCGGCACAAACTTTGGGTGGAAGTGAAGTGTTCGAATTTCTCCACATGACTCACAGGTTGTCTTGTCGACCTCCATCTTGATTGGTTATTGCTGAATTTTAATCTGTCACTATCTCTTTATTTTGATTGTACCTTCCTTTGATCTGATTCTTGGTCCTATACAAATGTAGCAAACAAAACTCCGCCTAAATCATCTACCTGAGCTACAAATCTTTCCTAGAACAGGGCAGCCGTTTATTAATGTTGTTTTATATTAGATTGAATAACGTTTAGAAAACTTGGAATTGAGAAAACCCCTATTGTTTTATTCCTGTTATTTCGCATTGATATTCCCTCAATTATTTAAACAATGGAATGGATTGCATGATATCTATCAGTGCAAGTAAAACTGAAACCATGTATTTTAGTCAACTCTTTTTACATCTGAATATTTTAAGGCATTTTTTTGATAAAAGATTGTTTCTATGTAGTGTATAACTACATTTTTACATCTAATTTCATTTCACAGAACGACAGTGAAATAATGCAATTTCCGTCATATATATATATATAATCCGACATCAAATAGTCACTTCTTTTATAATTAAGTTAAATTTTGTCACTTACATTACAAGTTTTCAAAACAGTAGCATTGAGAACTCTAGTAATACATTGAAACACTTTTCAGCTAAGGAATGGAAATATACAATCATCCGTAATTAATTAATTAATTAATTAATAATAATAATAATAATAATAATAATAATAGTCACGGTAACACTTGTTTTGAAGTTATTACGAAAACAAACAAATTATCATTGGGTTATCAGCAAATTACTCAACTAAACAGATCTTTTTAAACTTTACATATTTAAAATTTGACCGGAAAATAAGGAAAAAAATGTTACGAAAACTGTTGAATTATTCAACTGAAGAAACTATAACATTGGTACAACAAACTTTTTTAAAATATATAACAACTTGATTATATTTAATTCTTTGTTCAGTAATGTGAAGTATACATTAATAGATAATAATATCTATAAATAGAATCATAGCGACTAGTACTTCCGCTTAAAGTCTACGATAGGAATACTATGTAGTAAGGAAAAAATGATTTCTCAAAATACTACCAATAAATGGGATAATAATATAAGGAAATTTAAATGAAAACAAATATTTACGTTGGTAAACAACAACAACTATTGAAAATACTACGGCAGAACGAGTGACAAATCTAAATTTAGTTTAGCTTAATTAACCAAGAATGAGATCCGAGTTTAACTACTGTTATTTTTTATGGATATACAAAAAAAATTATTGAGTTAAAAGATCATTTACTTGTAAAACGATCGATCTATTGCAAAGATGTGCTCAACTTTAATTCAGAAACGTTGAAATATGCTCCCATACTAATATATCGAATCAGATATACACATCCGAACATAATTCAAAAATTAATAAATGAGAATTTATAATTAGATCAAATCCTAACATAAAAATCTAAGTTTTCTAAGATCACTGATACTTTTCCCTAAGATAGATGTATGATCTACTTTTGTTTAGCATTTTAGATACCCCATATTTTAGTCTTAATTCAGGAAATATATTTAATCTACTAACCAAATATATGGGAAACTAATTAAAAAATTTATTTTCAAGGATTTAATAACAAACTTGTAGCATACGTTTTAACTAAATGATACATACTTACTTATGCCTGTTCGCCTCGTGGAGGATCACAGGTCGCCCAAAAGCATTCACCATCCAACTCTGTCCTGGACAATCCTATTCACCTGCTATTCATCCTAATCATGTCTGCTTCCGATTCCCGACGTATTGTGTTCTTTGGCCTTTATCTTTTCCGCTTCCTTTCAGGATTCCAAGTTAGCACTTGCCTCGTGATTAACTTTGGTGATTTCCGTAATGTATGTCCTATCCATTTCCACCATCTTTTCCTCAGTTCAAAGCTGGTTTGTCCTCTCCACAGTAAGCTGCTGCTCATGGATGTTGAGTATCTTGCGTAGACACCTATTTGTAAGTACTTGTACCATGTTGATGATTTTTGTATTTGTTCTCCGAGTTTCAGCTCCGTACAGTAGAACGGTCTTTACGTTTGTGTCGAAGATTCTGACCTTGATATTCGTTGACAGCTGTTTCGAACTCCATGTTCTTCAACCGTAAGAATGCGGCTCTTGTTTTTCCACTCCTTGACTTTACGTCTGCAATGGATCCTTCCTGTTAATTGATAATGCTGAGTGAAAGTTTCCACATCTTCCAGAGATTCTCCGTCAAGTGTGATTGATTTGGTGTTCTCTTCGTTGTAGTAGAGCATTTCCCCTTTTCCTTGTATATGTTGAGGCCTACTGATGCATAGGCTTCTGCTACACCGTTTGTCATGACCTGCATTTGTTTGTGATAATGGGATTGAAGGGCCAGATGATGTGTTCAAATCGTCTAGTTGCATTCATCCTGTCCATTATATTCCGTGCTTCCTTTCAGGGGTCGAGGTCTTCATAATCCAGTCGACCACCAGAAGAGGAAGGGAGAGAGTAGAGAGCCTCGTATGACTCCGGTTCATGCTTGGAATGCATTTGTCAGTTGTCCCCCATGCACTACTTTGCACTGTAGTCCGCCGTGTGAATTCTGCATGATGCTGACGATCTTCAGGTACACTATAGTGTCGAGGTTTCCATAATGTTCTCCTATCCTCACTGGCAAACGCCTTCTTATAGTCAATGAGGTTGAAGTACCGTGACGAGTCCCACTCAACTGATTGTTCAATGATGATCTGCAGCGACGCGACTTGGTCTATATACGACCCATCCTTACAGCATCCGGCCTATTGAAGTGGGGGCATACACTGAATCTTTCATCCGGTCCAGCAACACTCTTCCGAAAGCTTTTCCTGGTACTGACAGTAGTGCGGTGCTTCTGTAGTTCTCACATTTACCCAGATCTTTTTTTGTTGTCTATCCAGTTCATTAGCACTTATTCTTCATCCCAAATCTCCCTGAACAGAAAGTGGAGCATGATTGCCATTACCCATAGATTAGGCATCAGTGCTTCGGGTGGTATGTTGTCAGATCTCGCTGCTTTCCGACTTTCGATTTGTCTGATGGTCATTCTGATTTCTTCGATCGTTGGTGGAGTGACATCCATAGGAAGGTCTTTGTGTGCTGCTTCGATGGCCTGGGACCGGTCTATTCACGAACTCCTCGAAGTATTCTACCCATCTGTCCCTCTGTTCTTGGATCTCAGTGATTGGCTTCCTTCCTTTTCCTCAACTAGTTTCTTTGGTTTACCATATTCCTCTGCTAGTTTCTTCGTTTTGTCATATAGTTGTTTCATATTTCCTTTTCCGCCGTCGCTACTAGGTCTTCCATGTACTTCTGCTTGTCGGCTCGCATGGTCCTCTTCATTTACTTGTTTGCTTCAGCGTATTCAGTTTGTACCTTGACTTTCTCCGCTCTTGTTGATCGCTGTCTTCTTGTAATTCCTTTCTTGAATCCTGTCCAGGGTTCTCGCATCCTAAATTGTCCTTCTGAATTTTTATTCATAAAAATATGACCTACCAGGGTCTCCGTGGTGTGATACTGTGAGACCCAAATAGCTTTGTGTATACGTTTTTGTGGAATATTGTGCCATCTATAACCACTTTGTTGAATGCATATAGGTTTGAAATTCTCTTCCCCAGTTCATGTCGTCCCATGATATCGTCATATCCGGTGTTGTCTATTCCAACTTAAGCGCTTAAATCTGCCATCAGGATGGTCAGGTCCTTTCCTGAGGACTTCGCTATGATCAATTGCAACTTCTTGTAAAACTGATCTTTATCATCGTCGTTGCTATCATTAGTGGGTGCATAACATTCATCGTAGTTCCTTCCTTCTGCTTTGATGATTCTGTATCCGTGAGATCCCCATCCTACAAATGCATTACGTGCTTCTTTGGACAGCATCAGAACAACTCCCTGAGTGTGTGCAGCATTGTTCTCTTCGTGACCGGAGTACAGCAGAATCTGTCCCGTACCTAACCTTTGCTGTCCAGCTTGGGTCCAATGGGTTTGGCTGGTTCTGAGTACTGCGAAGTTGTATCTCCTCATTTGACTGGTCCTCCAAGTCCGCTACTTTATCCGGACGTCCCGTGTAGAAATTGTTGCTCTGGTAGTTAGAAGGAGCATCGGCCTCATGACTTCCGAAGAATATCAGCTTTCATCATGAGGCGTCATAATTCTTCCCTTAACTCTCAGGGCAGAGCCAATTAAGTAATATCAACATAAAATGAAGGTTGGCGACCTACGGTTTATATTTCTATGTTGCATTATCATCATTAAATGTTATCGGTAGCGTGACTGCCTCACTTTCCGTATGATGGAACTCCGAGGTAATTCCTGAAGTTTTAGCGAGGAAATGTGACCAGGAAGAGAGGTTACTTTCCAACTCAGTATGGTTTTTTATTAGTCTAGAAGTCCAAACTAAAGCTTGAAAAATATCATCTACATCCAAACTTATATGTAGTTGGCAAATGTTTTCATAACATAACCTGGATGTGGTTTAACCATAGACTGGGAAAGACGACATTGAAAGTCACAAATCTCTTTCTAAGAGTATGATATAAGATAGCTAGAATATGAACTACTTAATCTCCTGATATTTTGCTTAGGAGGAATAAAATGTTTATAATAACCTGGCCATTCATTCATTAACCATTATTCACCTATGTGTCAGTGCAATTTTAGATGATTACTTATATGAACAAACACAAGATTTTACCACGGTTAAAATACTCATAAATGTTCATTTGAAAACGTGATGATAATTGATGCAAATAAATCAAATTTCAAAAAAGCAATACATAAGGAGTCACATAACATACTCTCGACTTTTATTTCATGAATCTACCGAGGAACACCCTATACGATGTGAATTTTGTGGTCGATCAAAATGATTCAGACACATGTAATTAGTAATTTACTTTTTCCTTGAAAGTCTATTACAATACAGTGTCCTATTAATTGTATTTCCATTTTTTCTGATACATACTGAATCTCTGTTACGCAATACCAAGTTTTATCACCATGTAGTTAATAAACAAGTTTAGACTGATATATTAACTGAATAAATAACGATTGATACAAAATTCTAGCCATCATAAGATAATTAACTCGCATAAATTTCTTTTGTATAAATCAAAAATACAATACAAATAAAGAATATTCATAATGGAACCGATAATAAATATTGTAAAACAGCATAGGCAATTTGATACATAAGAGAATCTTCAGAAGATTATCACAATAAGCTCTTTATTATCGGTGTCGCTTATCATGCTGAAATTGAGTCCAAACAGAATACATTCATTTGATCGATCCAAGCCCTGGTGAAACAATCCTCAGAAAATTTTTTATGTACCCACTGGATGGCATTTTTCCGTATGGCATCGATTTGTGATTCAGACATTTTCAACAATACCAATTCGAAATATTTGCGTATTCATCAACTGTTGACGCAAGAAATCCAACACCTGAATTTTCTAACTGATTGGAAGATGAACTAGTTTCTGAGGGTCCAATTATATCAGTAAGTGGACCACCGGATCTGTGAGCAATTGTAATAAGACCGGATGCCATGCCTTCCACAACACCTGTTGAAAATAATACATAAAACAACAGACTATACTATGAGGAAATAATGCATGAAACATGACTGACATCAAGGTGTAAAACTGATGTTGAGGAATAAACAGAGATCACATAACGTCCGGATGCTAGAATAGAATAATTAACTAAATGTGGAAGAATTTCATTTTAGCTTAACACAATACACATGGGGAATTGCATAACACGTTTCAATACTCTACACACAATTATTAGCAATATATGCAGTGAACTGAAGTGTCATCTCGAAGAATGTGGCGCATATATATCGGCTCTCTTGTACCAATATTCATGTGTTCAAATAAATAAATAAATAAATAAATAAATAAATAAATAAATCATCTCGAAGATTATCAAGTGTACTTTTATAGTTGCTATGACTGACTGACAGCCGAAAAAGCAACAGAAAACTTGATGAACTAGCAGTGACTTTTACTAGATCTAGCAAAGCACAGATCGATCCACCATTATGGTAATGAACTCCATCATTAAAACAGTACATAATGATAAGGTACAAAAAACTAATTTACTCACTCTTCAAAGGACATGAGCACAGACACAATGATCTGACAAATCATTTTATAATCATATAATTATCTTTGTGATAGGTACTCAAATAATAATCAACTTACAGCATGTCACATATGTGAGTCAGCCCACGGTTTTAGAAAGCTCAGCTGGCTTTTTGCCAAACTTAGTCACTTGGTATGTGAAATCTTCATCTGCCACTTAAAAATCCAGTCTACTGAGCAGATGCTCATCCTGTCCTACTTTATGGCTGTGAAACATGACAATTAAGAATGGAGGATATTCAGAGGCTAGTAGTATTTGAACATGCCTTCGAATAATTGTTTGCGTATATCCGGACAACTGAGTGAGCAATGATGAGGTAAGTATAGAGTATTGGGTAAATGTAGAAAATTGGTTGGTCTGATAATGAATCTTTATCAACCAAGGCGGTAAGGACATGTATTGCGTATCCCCAACTACCGCCCACCTCCATGGGTTATGATGGCTGGTGTAGGGGGTGGGTCGCAAGAGCACTACGGGTGACTAGACCAAAACGTGGGATCAGTCCATGAAGACGTCAACAACTGAACTGGACCTTGTAAATAAACTACACACTGCCTAGTGGGGGTTTACGAGATTATCGTAAATAATTGTTAGACTCAAAGTGAAGTGACTCAGAATCAATTGCAATGGCACAGGAGTATCCGCCATGTCCCCTTAGATCATCAATCCCGGAATCCCCTACACGTTTGATCTCTTTTCATACCTATTCTTTTCTGTTACTACTGACACTGTGATTACTTTGACCACTCTGAGATTTGTAAGAATAATTTTACTTAGCTGTGTTAATGTTATGTGTTAACTTGAACCGATACATGTACGTACCAGGTTTCATGTTGCATATGACTGACTGAATCTTAATGCCCAACTAAGTAATAATCACAAAACCAAAAGCGTATCCGCGTATATACATTTAGCAATTACTTAAAATCGAGATTTCAAGCAAGCGTTTCATTTAACCCTATAACTTTTTGGAATCAGAGTTGCGGCTTAGTGGTTGTAGCACTAGACTTCACACACAACTTAGTGAAACAAAACTCTGCAAAAACCTGTGTGTTGCACATGAGTTACCCCAATTAACCAACACACTCACAACTCTTAGTTGGATGGTAACCAGGATTCTGAGGCTTCGAGGCTAGTATGCTAACTATTTTAATATACAGAACAGGCTCTGATAGTTAATATTTTAAAATCCGACTGGAACGTTCTGAATTTTTCACAGATGTGTTTAGTGGTGCCTTTTCTGATGCGCAATTTTATTTAGCTCAGACTGGCGTACTATACAATATTTCTAAAGTCAACTTTAAATTACTTACTTATTCCGAAATGTTCATCCACCATAGTGTGCAAATTAACAGAACAACGTCCAAAATAGCTTTTTAACTCCTGATAGGGTAAATTAATGTGGAACTCTACAGTATCTCCAAGTTCCAGTGCAGCAGCCTGGTCTTTAAGTTTTGAGACAAGGGCAAAATCCTTGTCATCCCGACAGCCACCTATTAAAAGAAGCTTGAACTGGTGTTTTTCATCGCCTTTTGCTGACTCGTGACGGTTAAGGAAGTGATGGAAAGCGTCTAACTGAAGCTAAATATTAGAAATAAAATTTTTCAGGACTTATTAATTATATTATTCAATAGTGACTATAGGAAATTCTATAACTGTTAAATACAAGCCCAATAAACTTTATACTAATTGCGCAATTCTATAAAATAAGGCCTAAGTAATAATACGATTATAGCCTATGAAGATTTACTTACTGTGAAACAAGGTCAAAATCGAGATAAGGATGTAAATCTACTTCACATGTTCAGAATAGGTGTTTCTATATTATTTTTAAGGGAAGTTATCTAGTTGGCAAAATATGCGTAACAATTTAGTTTGGCCAACCGTGCAAATATGAATAATGGACTCAGAATATACACTTGTGACGGTCTTCGATTGTATTGTTTACACACAAGATGGCTCTCCTAAATGACAGAAATATATATTATATTATATTCTTATTTAAACTGAACCGCTAAAAAACAATATCCTTGTTTTTATTCCCTTTTAGTCCTGATTCCTCCTTGTCTCTTTTTTCTCTTCCCAAATTTATTTCACTGGATTATACTCCTTGAATAACATCTTCAAACCCTAATCTTCCCGATTACTGCTTATACTCTACTACCTTGTTCAGACTCGTTAAGGAAACCGGAATTAGGAACCCGACCGTTAGCGAAACAATCTCAGAAAAAGATGGACATATTATTCATTCTCAATCCAGGAGATTGGATCGATGGGCAGAACACTTTAGGGATCAGTTCAACTGGCCTTCAGCCACACTTCGGTTTCCCACGATCTCTAGTCAACCTGAATGGCAAGTTAATGTAGGTCCTCCGTCCCTTTACGAAGTTGAAAAAGCCATAGGAAATCTGAAACGAGGGAGAGCAGCAGGCCCTGACAGGTTTACTCCTGAGATTTTTAAGGATGGTGGTCCAGTATTAGCAATGAGATTAACTGAGGTCTTAGGTAGAATTTGGGAACTGGACGTAATCCCATCTGACTGGTCTCAATCACTGATTGTGCCAGTCTATAAGAAAGGACAAAAGTCCTCTTGTGACAATCACAGAGGAATCAGTTTGACTAATATAGTGTCTAAAATATTAGCTTCAATAATACTTCGACGCCTAATCAAAGCTCGTGAAGAGCAGATTAGAGAAAACCAGGCCGGTTTTCGACCTGGACGTGGTTGTATAGATCAGATATTCACACTACGTCAGGTTCTAGAACACAGACACACATTCAGACGCCCCACAATGGTAGTATTTCTCGACCTTAAGGCGGCATTCGACTCTGTTGATCGTGAGGTTCTATGGCAGTGTTTGTCACTGAAAGGAGTACCAAAGAAGTACATTAACCTTATAAAGGCTCTCTACTCGAACACAACTGGTAGAGTGAGAGCTTATGGCGAACTGTCATCAGAATTGATTACCTCAAGTGGTGTTCGTCAGGGCTGTCCACTCTCCCCATTCTTGTTCAACTTTGTGGTCGACGTACTTTTAGAGATAACACTCTCCTCATCTAAATTTCCAGGGGTTGAACTTCTACCGGGAGGTTCACTTGTTGACTTAGAATATGCTGATGACATAGTTTTATTTGGTGAAGACGCTGACAAAATGCAGAGTCTTCTGACCACTCTAAGCAACAATGCAAGCATGTTCGGGATGCGATTCTCTCCCTCGAAATGCAAAATGTTGCTTCAGGATTGGGTTACATCGACACCCGAACTAGTGATAGGGAGTGAAGTAGTTGAGTGTGTCGACCGCTTCACTTATCTTGGAAGTCTCATCAGCCCTTGTGGTTTAGTGTGTGACGAAATCTCAGCACGGATACAGAAGGCTCGACTAGCTTTTGCCAACTTGCGTCATTTATGGCGTAGGCGAGATATCCGTCTATCAACCAAAGGACGGGTTTACTGCGCAGCAGTTCGTTCCGTCCTACTTTATGGCAGTGAAACATGGCCGGTAAGAGTAGAGGATATTCGTAGGTTACTAGTATTTGATCATAGGTGTCTTCGAAATATTGCTCGTATATCATGGGACCATCGAGTAAGTAACACAGTTGTTAGGAAACGGGTACTAGGTAAGGATGGCAAATCAATTGATGAAGTAGTGAAACTTCATCAGTTGAGATGGCTGGGACACGTGTTACGTATGCCCAACGACCGACTGCCTCGACGTGCTATGTTCAGTGGTATAGGAGTAGGTTGGAAGAAAGCTAGGGGCGGCCAAACCAAAACATGGCACAAGTCCATGAAGTCACTGACAAGTGAACTGAGTCATGTTGGTAGGTGTAGACTACCTGGTTGGGGACCGCGAGATGATAGCAACCGATGGTTAGAGACCCTGAATGACATGGCTCAAAATCGTTTGCAATGGCGCAGGTGCATCCACTCTCTGTGTTCTCCCAAATTCTAATCTTCTGAATCCTTCATGTCCCTTTTTTCCTCTTTCCAAATTTATTTCACTGGATTATACTCTTTAAATAACATCTCCAAACCCTAATCTTCCCGATTACTGCTTATACTCTTGCTACCTCTACCACTACGGGATTTGAATCGACAACTGCATCTCTGTGCTAATGTGGTGTGGCAACTCGAACTGATGTACGTACGTACGAAGTTCTACGTTGTTACTGACTGACTAACTGACTACTACCTCTACCACTACGGGATTTGAATCGACAACTGCATCTCTGTGCTAATGTGGTATGACAACTCGAAATGATGTACGTACGTACGGAGTTCTACGTTGTTACTGACTGACTGATTCCCTTTTAGTGAGTAAATGATACTGTCTCCTCATCCGTGTGGTGCGTTTCATGGTATACTAATGTACCAAGTATTTTTCTAAATTGTAAAAAAAAATTACAATGGTAATAAGTGATCACTCGTAACTGAAACAGATCCATACGTTATTTGATGTTTAAGGACTCTGAAGCTCAAGAACGACATTGATGTATTAACTGCATGAGTGAATCTTATGAATAAGTATGTACGACTGATTTGAATGTTTGACTATCCATGATCTAATTGGTGAACACCCGAGGATTCCAAGGCTAATAAACTCATAGGTTTACACAAAGCGTTGAGCTTACAAAGAAACATATCAGCTGTATTTCTCATTATAGTTGTTTTTAATTATTTAAATAAGTATTTATTTATTTATTTCAACACATAGATATTGGTACAAAGAGGCACCAAATACATATGCGCCACACAAATCTCATTCGATATGTGTGAGGGCTGTGATACTGCCCGGGTGTCCAAACCGAAGCAGGTATTTAAATAAGTGGTTCTATAAGATTAAACTTCACATGGTACGTTATCGGAGGCGACCAGTGATCAGGAAGAGTTCAGTAGTTTGGTTTACTCGACTTTTTGATCGATGAAATTTAGGACTTAAGAATCAGAAAATATAAATGTTTTAGATTTTGGTTGGGAATGAATACTTGCTATTATGAAAGGGTTTTACTGAATTGGAAACTAAAGAATGTTTAGTTTAGTGATACATTTGAAAATGCTAACGTTGAGTATTTGAGTAACGGAAATATTAAACATCACATAAACCAATAACAGCAAATAAGACACAGTGCTGAGTATCTCAGATTACATGAAGCAGATTTCGGTTCAGCATTAACAGTTAGAGTACTACATGAGTACATATCTAATAATTACTGTGATCAGAAAATACTTTACAAAATGCCATAAATTGAACTGTCTAGAAGTAATATATCTCAATAAAAAACGAAGCAAACCTTGTGATTCTTTTCCGGTCTAAACTGACCGACAGATAAAATCCACTTAAATCTTTGATTACTGAATAATTTCCCTTCCAAATCCTCGACGGGACAAGGAGGATAGAGCACAACAGGTTTTCCACCCCACAATGACTGAATATGCTTTTGCGTCCAAGATGAATTCGTCATTGCAACATCGACATTTATGCTTGAACCAGAGAATTTATAAGCTTTGATAAAAAGGTTGTAGTATAAGAATTTTATGCTGGAAAAGATCTTATTATTTCTAACCCAATCAGGATTATTATAAGTTAAAACTATTTCATTTTTATTTTTTGAGAACAATGAGGACGATACACGTTGCAACATAACAGACGATATAGTTGGATAATGTACGTAAGCCGCTGTCTGTGAATTACATAACCATTTGGCTAGAGGTATGGTAAAAGCGAATCCGGTAGTGTCAATATATACATCTGGTGGGCATCTAAAGATAGCTTCCAATCCAACTAGAACTGAACCAAAAGCCTGACCAGCTAGCGTGAATAAACGATATAGCTTCGGAGTTAGTAATATCTCTGATTTCAGTGGTACAAAATGTATAGCAGAAGAATTGGAAGGTTTGTTGAAATATATTCCAAATATTCTTCGGATGTTACTGAGGACTTTATCAGGATTTGAAAGGCACTCTGCATCATTGGTATAAATAACAATCACTATGTTTTTATATCTAAATTAACAAAATGTCATATTTTAATCAATAGGGAAATAAAACAACCTACTTTTCTAACATACACTTAATTGCAGTCCATAGAACACGTTCACCCCCACCCCCACAATTACAATAAGGATGAAAGAACCCAACAATCTTGTGATTGGCTGGAACACCATATTTCTCCATCAAATCACGGTGCATAACGTGTTTTCGATGACGGATAAACCATTTAATTGCGAAAATAATAGCATATACAACTAACAAAAAAACCAACAGGGTCTAAAAGAACTAATAAAATGATCAAATTACCATCATCTTTAAAGAAGATAATTCCCTAACAATCAGTTGCAGACGACAGAAGTCTTCGTATATGCTAAAAATAAAGATAATACATTAAATTAAGAGCTGCAGTCTGTTTGAGCAATTAAATATTAGTCATTAATAAAAGAACCAAAATCCAGCTTCATTAGTTTAATCTAAGCAGTGTGTAGTGCCATGGATTTCCATCCAGAAAAGTAGCACACTGATTTGTCATGTTGAAACTGTCAATGTGTACTTAAACAGAGCAAGACTTCCCTTGGAATTCCAAAAACGCTTCTTCGAGAAGCATGAGAACTAAGTTTAATTGAACACGAGGGCTGTCCTTAGTAATCTAATGGTAAAAATAATGTATTAAGACACAAAACAAGCATGTTGGCAACAGCACATATTTACTGAGCACAGCTAATGTGAGTAAGAAGTGGTAGAAGAGTGAATAAAATCATTCTTATTGAGAATCAACCCACAACATTGACACCGAGTCACACATTAATTCTCATCTTCATTATCTGATAAGAAGCATGCTGTTTACAATTCTTTTAGTACAAATCAAGAAGGAACTACCTCTTTAAAGTGAACGACAATCCTGTGCATCTGACTAGCCACTTTAAGGACTGTAGGATTGTGATGTCATCACTGTATGCAAGACCGATTAAATAGTACTTGACTTCATATGATCTTTTTACAAAATGCAAACTGCTCAAGTGGAAATTAGATTCCATCCAACTGCCGAAAAAGGGCACATGTTCCGAATTCTCGTCCTCGTTGTTTTGACGCCTGGCGATGGGACCCAGCGAAACATATTGTTTTCAGAACTCACTTCCTAGAAAACGTTAGCAGAGATCTTTATAAATGTATCCCTTAGTGATGGACTCTTGGCAAACGTAATACACAGGCAACCGACAAAAATATTGGGACCCGGAATAATTCTCGACGAAATCGAGGCGTGTCTGATTTTCTTCAAAGTGATGTGTTCACATGGTGGAAACATAGGTAGTGCTGTAATTCCCTATAAAGTACTGGCATATCAGTATCCCAAGTGTTTAAACATAATCACTGCCTAATGGTTGCTTCTTGAGTCCAGTATAGCAAGTGAAAAGTTGGTTAAATTAATCCATCGCCTTGACCTGACATATTTTTTCCACTTCTTCATACTAGATCGGGATAACTCAGAGAACATAGCAGGCAAGTAGAAAAGTCGAGAACGAACAAAATACCGAGGCATACAGGCTTTCACATCGAGTCACTGATTCTTGAAACCTAGGCTATAACAACTGTTTCTTAAAACTGGTGTCCACACCTTTAGTTGACTCATTCAAGAGAAGACTAGACACTCACAGAAGCTTAATAGAAAAGGACTAACATAGGCTGTAGGCCTTCTGTCCTTACTACACAAGTATGCTACTGATCCAAGCGGAGCTGTGAGGAGACAGATCTGAGGTGTCCCGACGAAATACAAGTAAGTGTTTTACCTTTTAGATGACTACAACCATAGACAGCTAAAACGTACTTAATTTACCAGTTATTTTGCATAAAAAATTCCCAAGCACCCAACTTTGGGGAAATCCCTGATGTTTGGGGAAATTTGGGGGTTTTGTGCCATTTCCCCAAAATTTAATATAGCGGCTTCCCCAAAATGGGTCAAATTTTCCCGAAAATCGGGTTACATGTTCAAAATAACCAGTAGTTTGAAGTTTATTGTCATATCTTGGACATTTATAACCTAACTACAAGAGAAATCAAACTAAGTGAGAAAGTGTTTCTTATTCTATACACAACATGTCTCAAAGTTAACTATTAGGATAATTTCTTGAACTATAGTATCTATAGATATCTGGTTCGACAAAATTTACGGTGTCGTTTGTACTGATGAAATCAAAAATATGACGAAACTAGGTGTGTATATACTTCCACTACAAAATCATCGCAACTTTCTTTGACCAGCCTGATAAACTTTCTCCAAACGAAAGCAGGCAATCAAACCTTCCTCCTCCACATTCAAATGACCCTGCAACCTCAACCTTCAACTGTTTGTTCTTTGAAACCAGTGTCTGTGTAGCGGGAGGGTGTTGGCTACGTATTACGACTTCAAATTACTTTAAGCCAGTAAGAAAAGTGTTCGTTTATGTAGGAACTTGTAATAAAAACAAATGAACATACGATTAACGAGGAGTTTTGTCACGAATAACGAATCAAGCTAAAATCATCCATGATGAACAAATGCTCGGTGGCAGTATAGCGGAAGTCAACAAGAGCCTAAATCTGATTAATTTGTCCATATGTAGTGGTGCTGACCCACAAACAAACAGTCCTTGAAGCTGGACATGCGTTATTTGAAAGGATATCCATTCAACACTTAACACTTATAGAAGATCAGAAATGGTGAATGTAGAACACTTTACCGATATAGCACGGCTCGTCTATGCAGGCGTGATAACTCTGAACAACCTCATGCTTTTCATATTGAATACGTTATTTTCTTCCCAGCCCAAATGTATTTTCAGAAAGCCCTAGCAGTAACCACCGACTACCAGTAAAACGAGACAATGTAGACAATTGTGTGACTTCATGTGAGGTCTGATAAATCAGCTAATCGCATAATGGCAGGTCTACAGTTTTTGGATTACGTCTGATTCTGGTAGCGAATATGAATGCATTTAATACTGACCTAGATATCATTCTTACACACATACTTTACTTTTGCCAGGAACACATAAAGTGACCTCCTTAATACCCACAGAACTATGGTAATCACCGAGAATTATTTACTAATAATTAGTGATTAAAGTGTTTTGAGGTGGGACTTATTGCGAAGCCGTATCAGTGGCCCACTTGGTTAAAGGAAACTATGAACAATATGATGCATTTTAATAGTTTCTCCCCCCATCTTATTACACTGGCTGTACATTAAGAGTGTAAGGCTGTTGAGAAGTTGGTGAGCCCTAAGCGAATCATTCACTAGGCAGGTCGCATGATGTCCAACAACTTATCGATTTTCTTCAAGGTTCTGAAGGCCAACATCAATTGCATGCCATGCACAGGCACATGCGGCAATGGTTTCCCCTTGCATTTTTCCAAACAGTCAATTATCTTTTCTGTAAAGAGAATTTATTACAGCTAGTAACTTAAGAAGTTGATTCAGCTGGTAATCCTGACGGCATAACCCAGGTTAAGCATACGCCACAATGCGTGACTTCGGCGTAGGCTAAGAAGTTATATCATCCTCTTTCACCTGGGAAAACTTCCGGTCTTAGGCATAAAACACCTGTGTTGGTGATCAGCAAGAGCTTCCAATGAGTTAAATGTGGTTTGTTCTTGACGCGATTATCCTTTTTGTCTAACACCTTTGAACATACCTAGAAAGGGTCACATTATTCCTATGGTAAGGCGATATAACATGATCTTTTCACAGATGGGGTCCAAAGTAAGCACTGAAAATAGTTTTGATTAATTTTGAAATCCGTCAACTATTCATGGTCTCGTAAGAGTAATTATGTGTTATTGGCCACAGAAAATCTACTAGTCAAAAAACCTAGATAATCACAAAAAATTATTCAGACCAATTTCCATTAATATCGAGGACTTACAGAACTATTTATTCTGGGTGTATATTTACCGCTACAGCTCACTCCCTGTTACAGGAGAACTGAAGACATTTGTCTGATTAAAACCTTTTTTCTATACTGATAATTTTACTGTGTTTTGGATGCATTTGTCCTACTTAACTTTTCAACTTGTTTGTTTATATCATTAATTTCGGACATTTTGGTTTCGCTTTGTCATTGGTTCGGTATTTGGAAGTTTTCGCTCTGGGAACCTACAAAATTGAAGGTTTGTTTTAAAATTGTTATAATTATTGTTGTTAGAACGACATTTGGGTCGACTATTTGTAAATCCCGAATAAACCTTGGTATCTAATATGAATTTGATCCTATTGTTATTTTGGGTTCGTGAATTGCAAATAGATCGACATACCGTACTTCAATAAAGGGAACTAGCAAAAACTTGGACGTGACACTTCCCTCTAGTGGGATAGTGATGACCTTAGGACATGGCCAGTCAGAGTTTTGGGTCTGATGAGTTTATTGTTGGTACACATTCTTCCCTAATATAAGAAACCATGTGGTACGTAATAAAAATCAGAAAAGTACAACGAAAATTTCGATTCATCGCAAATTTCATCGGTTTATTCATCTTTCCCTGCCGCCCTGGAAAACAAAACAGAACTGTGAGTACATAGCGAGAATACACTCGTACATGCGTAAGTATGTAGGGTTGTGGTCTACATGATTTTAATACATTTATCTTTGCTACCATAATAATCGACCTAATCCGAAAATTGTGGGTTCGTCATGATGTAACTAGTTAATCCATATGGTCATACGTGGAAGTCACATTATAGTCTACGGCGACGCGTCCTATCGTGACAGTGGGCAATATGACATCCAGCACTTCTGAAAAAACACACTTCGAACTGGAAAGGGAGTAACATATACGACAGAACAACAAGACGTTACATGGTGTAACCACGCCAGCACGGCCGAGCCATGCCACTTCGATTGATCGTTCCTGATTTGCTACTATGGCCTTCTCTTAGTGTTATATGTTGAATGTAAATCTTTCCACTATTTATACGTTGAGCTTCGAAGGCCCCCAAATGCCCTGGTACGGCTGAGAGTGGGGAGAGTCCGCTCTCCCTCTCCAAATGCTCTCACACGGCCACGCCTATATATAACCTCTGCCAGGAAAGTCCTATTCACTGCCTTCTCGTGGCGAGGGTGTTGTTTACAAAAATGAGAGGACGAAAAGCGAATGCCCGGCGCTTTAACCGGATTCCAAACCAATGGTGCACATGTGCTCCAGTATCCTGCGGGAACAAATGGCGTATGAACCAATTTTCGGTCACCGGCTTCCATGGGACTGCATCTCCTTACGATGCTCCACTGTCTTGTGGATCAGACCTTCAGGTCGAAGGCTCGGGGTGTGGCTTCCCAAGAAAACTACCTGCTTCGGTTTGGGCAACCGGGCAGTATCACAGCCCTCACACATATCGAATGAGATTTGTGTGGCGCATATGTATTTGGTGCCTCCTTGTACCAATATCTGTGTGTTGAAATAAAAAATAATCGAAGGTCATACGTTAGGGATCAGTGTCACTAAAAAGACACAAAACTAGCGGTGAAAGGAGAATGAACTGGTATATATGGGTTTTGTTAACATTCAATAGCGTAAAAACAAACTTCACATAATGATTATTTTTAGATTTTGTTTTTGGAAGAAAATGTAGATACATATATCAGCACATTATTAGTAAAAAATTGTTTTCTTGGCATAATAATGCAGAAAATCGGAACAAACCAAAATGTTCTGTGGTGCCCTATGTGCGGTAATCGTTAAAGTGTTCTGGAAACCATACTCTTCTTCCAGAACGCGTTGTCTTTTGCCGGCTGTCAGATACCACCGAAGTTTCATCGTGATTGTTGATACCTGGTGAAATATCGTGATTACGAGACTCGTGTCCTTCGGTTGTACCAAAGGAAACTCGACATACATATGGTTTCTTTTCTAAATATGCAGCCTTGAAGCGATCGATCGGTTTATAAATCACAACTCATAATACTCGAGTCCTAATATTAACATATGAAGATGTTGAAAGATCGTTATGACTGGCTTGTATAATGCTGAAGAGTCTGTATTTTGTTGAAGACAGCCGGTTATTCAGCTGGATTTAGATCTACGGCACTGCATATACATCTGTCTGCGCTTCTTTAGTAATAAATACTATCTCCAGATTCTGAACCTGCCATTATGTGATTACCTGATTTATCTGAACTCTTATGAAGTTACATCTTTGTCTACACTGACTCGTTCTACTGGTAGTTGGTGGTTACTTCTAGGGCCTTCTGAAAATATAAATGAGCTGGGAAGAAAGTAACATTTTGGCTCAGTTTTGTTCCTTGAGATAGATGGTTTGGTGGTGTGGCTTTAATAATTCTTCGGAACGACGTCATAAGCACAAACTTCGAGTGAAAGTGAAGCGTTCGATTTTCTCCACATGTGGTTCACAGCTTTTCCTGTAAAAATCGGTGTTGATTGGTTCAGGTTGACAACATCGATGTCTAGAGGAAAAGTTGTGAACCACATGTGATTAAATTCGAATACCTCACCTCTACCTGAAGTTTGTGTTGATGTCATTCTGAAGAACTACTGAAGCCCCATGACCTAACCATCCATCTCAGAGAACAAAACTCCCTCAAAAACATCTAAGTAAGCTACAGATCTTCGCCACAATCTCAGAAAATAACATATTTATTATGAAAAACAAGGAGTTGTATGGAGTGGTCACGTCATTTTAAATGTATATCTTCTCAATTAACTTGTGTTCGGCTCCAAAAGATAATGTGGTTAGGAGCAAATGTCACCATGATTCTTCAAATGTTTCTGACCATACATGTCGGTTTGTCTACCCAAATAACCGGTGGGATTACGCAGTATACCATGATGGACTAAGTGGTTTAAATTAGAATTTTCACGCAAAAGTTGCTACTCACTTATTGATTAGTTTGACATTCAGCTATACAGTATTTTTTTCGTACAGTACGCAGTGTGCGACACTGAAGTTACATAACCACCATAGTTTGGACGTATGCGAAAAGGTCATGGCAAAATAACATGGATTTCATGTATGCTAACGGTAGTAATGGACGCTGATTTATTTAAATAAGTTGGATAGTGGAATTCGTATCAACAAATATGTATGCAAATTAAAACTTTATGGAATTCTTAGGAAATCCTAAGAGCATGTACAAGTTTGCATAACCCTTATGGCATATAAATAAACCGCAAACGAAATGTCCATGATATGTTTGCAGTTACTAAGTTGAATCGCAATATGAACGAACCGAAAGTGAACCTTAGTAAAAAAACGGTGCTCACCAATGTGACTAACGTCTCGATGAGAGTACCGCCACCATTTTAGAAAATTCTGTTGAATGCAGATGATATAGTTTGAAATTATTAACATCGTTG